TTTTTTTTCTTTAAACTTAAGTGCTTTCAAAATTCTAAATTGTTAAATTGTTGTTCACACATTTAAATTTCGGTTTTTTTTTTCTAATTTGCGGCCTTTTCTACTATAATAAACATAGGTATTTTGTGAACACAAGAAAATATTGTTTCTTTTTTTTGTTGTGTTGAGTGTGTAATCAACTTGTACAGATTTAACGACCAAAAATCGTTAAAATATATATTTTAAATAAAAAACCTCATTGGTCGATTATACAGAGTATGTTCCAAGAAAAATTCAAGCCATCAAGCACTAAAGGCGACGAATGACTGCGGAATAAATCATAAAATAACGCATTACAACGGCGGATACGATATGGACGGTTATATAAACCATACAAGAATTGTAAACAATAATAATGTGTATTGTGTAGAATGCTTAATATAGTCAAATTGACTCAAATAGTTGATACAAAATAATATTTAAAAAAAATCAAAATTGTATTTTACATTGGTAAAATAATAATATAATACTGCATGTCCAAAAATAATATTGTTTGAAAACATTTCGGTTTAGCTGGTTTGAACCATTAAACCCCCGTGCATGTACCGATACCATATTTTCTACATAATTATTGACTTGAGTCGTAATATCCTAATCCGAACAAAACCTGATACCTATATTTTGTAGTAGGTATAGGAAATCACTTTTTGAAGGTATGTGAGTTTTGACAGTTGTTGTACAATAATATATTAACTATAGCATAACCACACATTAGATTTTGCACTGAAATAGGTACATAATTATACATACTACATAGGTAGGTAGCAAATATATATTTTAAAGTTAGATCCGAATATAGAATATAAATCAATATTAGTTATTGCTCATATATCAATATTGATAACACGTCCTTGAATTTTAAAATAACTTTTGGTTAAATATACAATTCCAAAAACAGTGTTTAAACTTGAATATTATGTTATATTTTATAGAAAAAAATAAAAACGTGTAAACTATATTATTAAGTAGGTATTATGCACTTTAATATTATATGGCCAATGTTTTTTTTTTCATGTGACATATCGACTGTCTTTTTATTATGATTGTATGTTACAAGTTCTTTCCGTTCGCTACATATCAGTATATTTTATATCCTGCGTAGGATTATTCTATTCTGTGGTAGGACCTCAATACACCAACTTAATATTGCAAATTGTAAATAAAATGTTAGAAAATTGTTACGTATTTTCATCTTGTATCAACTATAAATAAAAGATTTAAATAAAATGTATTTACATGTTATTGTCATAGATATGCACCTATATGTTTAAAAATCAATTAGGTCGAATTTGATATAATAACATTTTAAAAAAAGATATTATATACATAGATATGGTATTAAAAAAAATTGACCTATAATGAATTCCAAATTAATCATATCACAATATCCATTAGGTACTTATAACGCGTTATACACCAACAATAAACCCTGATACTATCATAGATATTATATATAGTAGATTACTTTAGAAATTTCAAGTACCTACCAACGAATAATATTATACAATCACAACAAAATAACTAAAATCGTAATTCTTGGTTTAAATATGAAATTTTGTCTAAACTTGAAATTAAAATGTCTGTAAAAAATAAGTGTGTTTATATATTTTTTAGATTTTTTGATTACAGTATGAATTATTTAAGAGAATCTTTGTTTTAAATTTTCAACTCTTAATTATAAAAACTGAACATTTTATAATTTTTTAATTCCAACGATTGATTATTTTCGAGATTTTGATAAATTTTGTCAAAATTCCAACTTTAAATGCTTATAAAAAAAAATCGTGCCTATGTATTTTTAAAATTTTTCAACTGATATTGTAACAATATATAAGAAAGCTTGTATTAAATTTTCAGATTTTTTGGCCCACCAAATAAAATTTTATTGACAATTATAAAAAAAAAACTAAAAAAATTGAAAACTGAAAATGTCCGTAAACAGCTCAAAAAGAGTCAAAATATTTTCAAAATTGTATGGTGTATAGGAAATGCTAATATAAACATTCAGTGAAATTTTCATATATCTATAGTTATTCGTATATGAATTTCACAGTTTTTTTTTATAAGCATTTAAAGTTCAAAAATTGACAAAATATGGAAAAATCACGAAAATTATAGTGCCCCAGTGCCCCCCCCCCCTTGGGCCGTGCATGACACTATTAGTGCTATTTTGTTAGCGAGTAAATATAAAAATAATAATAAATAATAATTCAGCGGAACGGAAAAATAAGATTATTCTCATAATAATATAATAATAATATAAATACCTATTCTATAATTTATATTATACCTACACTTCGCATGATGCACGGTGACGTAGGTACTAAAGACCTGCAAGGGCCGGGCCGTAGTTATATTTCACCGGGCCGGGCCTTTGAAATAAAATAAAGGTTTGGAAAGGGCTTTTTAAGTCTTGGAATTTTATTCCGGAAGGCCTGGGCTTTCTTTTGTACAATTTTTCGGGCCGGGCCGGGCTGGACTTCGAATAATAAATCAGGGATTGGATCGGGCTTTTTAAGGATTTTTCTTCGACAGTAAATAGTAATGATAAAACCGACGTTTTTAGGTATATGTATAAATTATAGATACTAGATAGTAGATACAATCACAATAAATATAATAATATAATATTGATTGGTGGGTATCAGTGGCGTGGCGTGGGTATTAAAAAGATGTAAGCAGTGAAAATTTTGTTTCAAAAGCGATTAGAATATAGGTAGTAGGTACTATACCTAAATACCCATATTATAAATTATGTATAAAAAATGTTATCCTTTTAAAATTTTTAATATTTATAAAAATATACTAGTTGTACAAATCAAATTCGAGAAAATAAAGAAATTGAAGTATAAATACTTCAAAAGTCTATTAGGCAAATGACAGTGTCACAGTGACAGTGAAGTGTGTACGTAAAAACGACTACAGTCTAGTCATGACAAAATAGATCTAAATAAACAAAATAGATCTATTTTGTCATGAGTCTAGTAGTCTACAATGCGTCGGGCTACGAACCGGTCGCTCCTTGTTTCTCGCGTAAGCAAAATCAAATGTGCTTACAAACGCTAGTTAAATACGTGACCCCCACTATGGCATTATAGACTATTCGAAAACAACAGTTGCGCAATTTCAGAATGTGTTACACGGTATATCGTATTATGATTATGCAGTTAACATAATACAGAATGGATTAAAAATAGACCTACAATCGATGATTTTCTTAAAATAGTTGGTAATCAGTATAGACAGCGTACGACACATATAAACAATAACAAAAACCACTACCAGCTATAACTTAAATATTTTATAAATAAAATTAAAATTTTAAAAATCATTTATTATGTACCTATTAGTCGTGATTGATTAAATTAATTTTTTCTTTCATTTAAAGTGTAAGCAGTGCTTACATGCTCTCTACGCCCCTGGTGGGTATAATAAAGCTATTTATATAGGTAGGTACCATAATTTATATATTTTTTCACAATATTTTTTGGGCTAGGCCGGCTTGAGGATAAAATGTATGGACCGGATCGGGCTTTTTACGAGCTTAGCATTATTTTCGGACCGGACCAGGGCTTTTGTTCCCAATATTTTTTAGACCCGGCCGGGCCTGAGGATAAAATTGATGGACCTGGCCGAAAATTTACGACCCTTGCAAGTCTATAGTAGGTAGGTACATATATATAAGCCGTAATTGGCTAATCGTTATTCACTTATTTGGGTTCTAAATACTTCTAATCAATCGTCTTGCTTTGATCAATACTCTCAAAAATATATCAATAAATGTTGATGACATTACCGATATCAAAATTTGAAAAAACAAAACAAAGAAGGACAAACTTTGTCCATTTAATTTTAAAAATTAACCATAAATTATTAAAGTACAATTTTAGTAAATAATTTACTTTGATTATTTTTTAATTGTGTATTATCTCCTTGTCCTTTCGAAAAAAAAATTCAGAAATCTATTTACTTCAACGAGTTAAGAACAATGGGACAAGAATTTGTAAATTGTATGTGTTCGTATTTATATTAAAAAATTTTTCTGCGATTCAGGAAAATCAGATAAGCAAACCTTGAGATCTAGCTAGAGTAAACTAGCAGGTACGAGCTGGGGAGCAAATGCTCAAGTAGGCACTAAGAACATCCACATTCCACAATGGCTTTAGTACACCCAATTGCAGAGTACTGTGCAGGTGCATGGGATAGTAGCCGACACTGTAGTATAATGGACGTTCAATTAAGGAAAACAATGCAAACCATTACAGGAACGCTAATACCAACAAACGTCTATTATACTTGAGTATATCCTCTACAATGAGGTGTGTAAACCAAGATTGAAGTCACGTAAGGCCTTTTCTACATCGGGTGGAAGAAAAAAAAAATAGAGGGAAAAAATACCTAACCCGTGGGAATCTGAAAATAAATAAATAAACATAATAGAAGTCTAGGTATAAACACAGCTTACACAAACTACAGTTGATGTGGAATGAGGATTTTATAATAATAACGTACCCACACTTGAAATTGATCAATAACATATTTGTTTTTATATTACAAACATAATAATATAAGACGTGTGTGTAATGTGTATATAATGTTTTATCACCGCTATTCATATGAAAAATATTTACTCAATTTATGATAAACTAAAGTGTGAAGCACAATATACTGTATGGTACATAATATACATTACATAGGTAACATTTAAAAATAATAGAAATAGAAGAAAAATCAGACATAATAGGTAAAAATGTTTGGTTTGTGTTGAGTAACAAAAACATGATTAAAATAATATGTTGAATTCAACAAATGTTATAGATATATGCATGTGCACACACATACATGTACATATATGAATATATTGTCCCTTGATTGCACATAATAATCAACAAAATTCAACATTATAATAATAAATCATTAAATTAAAAATTAAATTTTTTTTTTTGTACATTCCATCAACTTTAGATAAAGCCTGCAGCTCCTCTATAGTTGTTTGCTTCGGACGGGTACAAATAGTCATCGCTCCAATTAGACCGGGATAATGTAGGTTCAGATGTCGTCCGTTGCAGTTTTGGCATAGCGTGTATAATGCCTTGTATGGATATAGCAACGTCTTTGAATTTGGGCCTATCTTCTCTATCAAATTTGATACAGTTCTCCATTAATTTGCGCAGCTCAGCTGGTGTGTCTGACCTGACTTTTTTCAAATCAGGTCTTAAATAGCCCCTGCCTACCATAAAAATTATCTGATCTTTGTTATTAATTTCCGTGTAAGGCAGCTGACCAGAGAGTAATTCATACAGCACAATGCCATAAGCATAAACATCCGACTGAAAACTGTATGGGTTGTCTACTTGCATCCGAATTACTTCGGGAGCCATCCATAGTATCGATCCAGATGGTTGATGGTACTGTTGACCACCGGACCATTTTGATTTGATAGTAGCCAAACCAAAATCACCAATTTTCACAACAGAATCATTGAAAAATATATTGTTGCTTTTTAGATCCCTGTGTATAATGCTTTTAGAATGAAGATAATTCATACCAATTGCAGTTTGGCCAGTAATCGATATCAATTGCATTGCCTCAAATCTAAAAACATTAAGAAATATGTTATAACTAGGGCTAAGATTTATAACCAATATAATAAAATATACAATAATTTACTAATATTTACTGAACTACCATTAAGTGTTATAGTTAAAATATGCAAAACATTGTAACACAATTGTAAAACTGTAATTATTGTACTATCTTGTAAAACATAAACTAATAATCTTTGTCATTGAAATTACTAACACCAAATTTGTAAAAGGACACTGCAAAATAAAACTACTATAGGACACAAATCCTAGCCCTAGGTAAATGATTACTCATACATAACTACATATATTGGGCCTAATATGATTTTAAAGGAGTCTTGGATGAGCATACATTTTGCTTATTTAATAATTAACATCAAGTATGTGAATAGTAATACATCATTTATTGCTGTTTCATCATTATTGTTTATATAATAAACTATTATAAGAATTTTTCAGATTTGTTGGACAGTCTATCTAGTCATTTTTATGCAATTGAGTTTATCATCATTTGAAGATTTCTTTTGTAATTTTTATTTCAATTAAAGTTTTAAGATCAAACAAGTATTCAAATAAAAATGGTCAATGCTTAGACTCATACAAATTTCTTATCTATAATGCTAGACATATATATATACATACAATATACTAAATACAATGTTTAAGAATCATACATTTTAGTTTTGCTTTTTTCAAGCAGAAAACAATGGGTTTGATATAATATACTGTGTGTACATTAGTAAGAGTCAGTAGCCGTATTATTTTTACAGCTAGTGACTTTCCAATTAATTTAAATACTGTATAAGAAGTGAAGAACTGCATCCAATATATTGATATAACATTATCTAAAAAAATAATAGTAATATGCATTATGTAATGTTAGATATTTTGTACAATCTCCATAAATATTATGTAAATGTAATCAATTGTTGGTTTTGTTACTTTATCTGCCTAGTATTAAATATAATAATTCCTATATTAATTTCAAATTTGGCAAAAGAATAGGGTTAGTATATTAACAAATCAAAAGATAATCCTCATATTTTTTAAAAACAAAATAAAATACATATTATTACACATAGATAATGAAATTATAACAAGACCTTATTAGGTAGGTACTTATTATAAATAATAAACGCATATATTTTATAAAATCTCTTAGGCATTTTTATTTTTATTCAATGTTTAAATATTAAATTAGTATACCAGATATGATATTATATAACTACACCAACGGTTACTAATAAAACAAAAATATATTTTGCATGGAAATAAAATAAAATTTAAAAATATGTGTATGTATAAACATATAAATAATAATGTGAAAAACAGGTTAGTGGGACATAAAATTGAAATAATGGAGAATCCTCTATGGTAACCCTATTACAGAATAAACGTTTAAAATCAAAATTGAATGCAAAAATTGATACCAAAATTAATTTAAATAATAATTTTAAGATTTTTTATTATTCTTGTTTGGTGCCTCAAAAATTTATAAATTTAAATTGTGTGAATTTATTGAAATAATAATACTAAATTGTAATCAAGAAATCCAAAACCAGGTAATTTCTATAATGAAGAATAAATGTCTTACTTTTTTTCCAAAACATGTAAACAGCGGTATAGACTTGATCCTTCACACCACTGTGTGACAATAGCTAAATTTGGTTTTCGTATAACACCCATAAACAGTAAAACATTTACGTGCCTAGTTTTCTTTAATACGGATACTTCATTTTTAAATGCTTGCAATTGTGCAGCAGTGGGTTGTTTGACTTTGAGTGCTTTAATTGCAACCGGACCATGCCAATTGGCCTTATAAACAGTACCAAATGACCCTGATCCAATACAATCACCCATTTGGATATCCGTTTCTGGTATTTCCCAATCTTCCAACGATTCTTGAGGACCTGTGTCACGAAGCAACTTTTTGGTTGCACTTTCATCAGCACTTTTGGCTCGAGGTCTAGGCCTCAATACATTGGTAGGAGAAGCTTGGGCACTCTGGCTATGAGGCAAGAAACCATGAGGTACACCAGATGGTGCTTGTGATCTTCGCTTCAGTTCAGCCAAATCGTCCCAATTCATGTTAACCATATTACGGCATACATTAGGTTCTGAACTTGATCTTTCGCCGTGACCAAGCACTCGACGTCTCGAAGATTGATAGTCAGATGTTAGTTGTAGTATACCGGCAGAGTTTTGGTAAATAGTATGATTTCCACCATTGCCACTATTCAAATCTCTAGTTGGAATACACAGTACGGGCACTCCCATGGAACACCGTTCATGAAATTTGAATCCGCACGAACGACAGTGATAACCCTGGTTGATATAAATGTACATCAATGAAAGTCAAATATAAAAAGACCAATAATAATTTGAGAAGAATGTATTATTTACCTGGAAAAGTAGTTGACGACAATGATCACAAGTTGTAAATGATGTACGCTTTGAAAAATCATGTGTAAATGATGCTTGGATGGGTAGCCAACACATTTTCACTTGTATCTCTTCGTATTCAATAGTGGACGTTTGAGTATCCCACGGTATCTGATGGTCAGTGCCGTTCCGGTAGACAACACAGGCGTTTAACGGGATCTTCCTGTGTTGCAAACGCTTCTCCAGGGCCATGTGTAGCGTTTCACCGTGCTTCACCTCAATAGTGGTACGCTGTTTGTTCGGTAAATAAGCACGGATAGTGCGAACGAACGGCGTGGACGGCTTGTCACCCCGGGTTTTTCGGTGTTCCCTGGGATGGTCGACCTGGTCGAGTAGCTCCTGCTCTTTGGCCTCTAGCTCGTGCAGCTTGACGGTGAGCTCGCGGTACTCGGTCAAGTAGATGGGCGGCGGATGATCGAACGTGGCGAACGTGCCGTTCAGCGCGTGGATGTTGCACTTGGTTAAGCGCATCACTTCCCTGACGTTCTGTAGCTCGTTGCGCAGCGAAGTTATCTCCTCGAAGTCGAACGACATGACGACGCCGCCACCGCCGCCGCCGGCAGCGGATTTGGTGTCCAGGCCGCCGGGGGATTTTGCTGGGGTCTCGGAATCGGGGGGTTGAGGAGAGAGAGGGCCTGTGGATGCGCTACAGCTCCATCGCCAGGATCAAGGGTCCCACAGACGGACGCTAGACACCATCGTCTTGCGGGTGTCGTTGTCCGTTTGTTGCCTGAGGGTGCTCAGATGTCGTCGAGAGGCGGCGGGCGGATACTACGATGGAGCTGTATCGGTTAGATTCGCCCCGAGCGAGTCGTCCACTACGACATGTTTACGAGAAACCGTACGAAATCGTTACACGATTGAATGGTGCCGATAACAGACGCACCATATTCGAACGGAGGTGGTAGATTACGGAGTGCCCTCCAATACGTTTATCCAAAGCCGACCGCAATTATTTGTAATTTAAATATAATACGACTTATATTAAATATTATACTAAATATATAGGATGTAATAATTGTAATATTATTGAATAATAATTAATATCGAATTGTCAAACAAAATTTACATACATTGACAAATATTTTAAGGTTAAAAGTTAAAACTACCCGGACAGTAGAACCACTGCGGCCGTTCCGAATACCGTGCAAGAGGTCGACCAACTTTTACGGAATCGGTCGCGTTGGCTAAGCTGGCGAACAATAATTATCAATACGAATGGGGCGTAATCTAACTTCTAAGATCGCGGGGCATAGAATTAAACAACACCGGTCCAAGTTGCGAAATCTGTTTAATCTGTGGTCAGCGGCATTTATGATTTATAAATATAAAACTAATGTAGGTTCGTTTGTATGGGGCTTGTGGACTTGGAAACTACTGAACCAATTGGCACCAAATTAAAAATTTTGCACGTATTCCTTGTTCTTACTTTTTTCATTCTTTGTTTCGTACTTTCGTTTGTCAACCCTTATCTGTGGAACACACTGTCGGGTTTATTACCGTTGCGGCTGTAACCAGACAGCAGGTATGTGTTCACTGCGAACTACAGATAGCTCATAGGCGTGACTAGACCTCATCCGCAGCGGGCAGCGGCAGCCTAGGTCAGTGTTTCTCAACCTGAGGGTCGTGAATCGTGATCCCCCTAGCCCCTGGGGGTCGTCAACTTATTATTTAGGGTCACGTATGACTTGAAATTTAACGTTTAATACTTTTTTTTAATTAAAAATAATTATAATATTATATGTATTTTATGAATGGCGGACAATTTCCCCCCGGACATTTTCCCCCCGACTGTTTTTGGCGTAGTAGGACATTTTCCCCCCAATATAAATTCGATGCGGACATTTTCCCCCCATTTTTTTTTTAAGTTTATTATTTATTATTTAATAAGAAATTATTTTTTTCAGTAAAATATAATTTTTTTTTATAAATATAATCAATTATACTATAATTACCTATTATAGTTTTTTTTTTTTTTTTTATTTTTTAAAAGAAATATACCATCTGTACCCAGAGACACAATAAGTATATGGGCTGATTTACAAAAAGGCGTGAATGATTTGTTGGAAGAAGCCACCCAGTAGTGACACTTCCTATTGACTTTTATATTTTTATTTATTTATATTTTTTTTTTTTTTTTTTGGTTATTAGTTAAGGAGATCTCTGCACCATTACCTATTATAGTAGATGTATATTTTTGATCAATTCAACTACTTGAAACAATAAAACAATAGTAATATTATATTTAAAAGATTGTCTAAATAAAAAATAATAGTACCTACTATTTTTGTCTTATTATATTTATGAAAAAAAAAAATGAAATTTTTAACCTATTTTACTTACCTATACACAATTACTTTACGTTTTTATTATATTTATGAAAAAAAAAAATATGAAATTTTTAACCTATTTTACTTATTTCCATTTTTTCGTATGTCTTATTATATTTATGAAAAAAAAAAATGAAATTTATAGTATACATTTATAAAGTTAATTGTAGTAGGTATAATTGATTATATTTATGAAAAAAAATAATTAAAAAAAAAGGGGGGGAAATGTCCGCATCGGAACATTTTTCGGGGGAAAATGTCCTACTACGCCAAAAACAGTCGGGGGGAAAATGTCCGGGGGGAAATTGTCCGGATACCGTATTTTATGTTGTGTACAATGCACAGTACTTTTACGATTGATTATTAATAAGTCTATATTCCATGCGAGTATATAAGAAAAATATATGTAGGGGGTCACCACAGTAAAACGGTTGAGAAACACTGGCCAAGGTTATGATCGGCGCTACTTAATGAACCGGAAAAATCCCCATACACACAATTCCGTATTTTTTGAAAGGCCTCCCCCCTCACCAACATAAATATCTGTAATATTTATAAAGTTTAAATGAAAGTCTATATTATTATCATCTGTTGTGTACAGTATTTTCAGGACTTTTAAAGTTTTAATCGAATTCCCGAAATATTATTACAGCCCTGGATAACACCATGGCGCACCTAGCTATAAAGTATAAATAAAAAAAATAATACTACAATATCAAATGATAGATGCGAATCGTACCGTCGTTCATCTTAAATCTTTATGATATAGGTTTTTCTGAAGTCGGGTGTGGTCGGCACTTCCACTCCACGCCATGTCTACGTGACGTAGTCTGAGGTAGTCGGTAATTATCTGCTTTCAATAGTTTTACAAATTCGTAAAAATTGTATCAGTTGCCCTTATACATTTTAGCAGTGGCGGATTTTCAATATTTTTCTGGTGGTGTCCCGAAAAATAATATGTATTTCAAACTTTCTAAACATATTGGTGTCCGGAGGGGATCCAGTGCCTCTTGACCAGCCCCCTCCCACCGTAAATCCACCACTGCAAGTTAGAATTTATTATAAATTGACGAAGTTATTGAATAAATAAAGATTCTAGGTACCTACCCAAATTTTAATTTTTTCAATGTTTTTTATGTTCAATTTTTCCAAAAAAAGGTTTACTTCAAAGATCATAAATTATTTACAGTAATGCCTGGATGGCCACTCGCTTGCTACACTGCGCTCGGACAAAAAAGAAGAAACTATAAAGTCTGACTGGTAGTCGAGTCGTCGAGATAACGGAATTGAGAAGTCACGGCATCGGCCGGCAGTCGGGATAACGGAATTGAGAATAGTGATAGTCGGGATAACGGAATGTACCATTTTGTCAAACATAATTATATCTTTATAATAAATTAATACGAAGGTAATTTAAAAAAAAAAAATAAAATTTGTAACCCTTCGTACTCAAAGCTTGGTTGATCGACGCCTTTTGAAAATTGCATGGGCAGCCCTGACACAGTGACACCCTACCACCCCAGGCTGCCACACGCCTATGAGATTGCTATAGGTGCTATAGGATGGCTCACACATGTGGATATGAATAAATAAATGTAAATTTGGCTCACTATTCATGAAAGTTGAAATTTTTGTTGATATACCTATATTATGGACATATGGTTGCCAATAGAAATACAAATACAATTAAAAAAAAAAAATTAGATGACTAGCCGACCTGCCAATGTTAAATTAATTGATTATTGTTCAAATAAATATAATAATTAAATATACAACAAAAGGCAATGTCCGTCAATGTTAGCAGCTTATAGACTCGAAACCACTTAACCCTTGACCAATTTTGACAATTAAAGTACCTGATTTTCATCATTGAATTTAATACAATTATTCAAATAATTCGATGGAAATCTACAACAACATAAGTCATAACACAAAATCATACATTTTCAATCGGACGTAAATGTGTTTAGTGAAAGTCAATTTCAACGTACAGAGTTTTCGGCGAAAACAACAAAAGATGGTGCTCATACGGTAGAACAGTATATTATAAATGCTCAATGTTCATACAGAATATTAATTTATACATTATACAACGGTGAGCAGTGGACTGTGGCCGGCGCGGTGGGCAACAGTAAACATGCCGTAAATGGTAAATGAATAAATGAATATATAATGATGTTCTGGTAACCTGGTATGGTTTAAGCAGGGTTTCCTGGACGTGTTTCGTTCCGAATTTAATATGTAGGTAACAAGATGCCGGTAACACGTTACCTATAAGTTGAATATATTCAACACTACACGTCACACGACACGGTGTATTGGAAACCAGGCTTGGTTGTATAATAGAAAACCGTGGGTTTACAGTAGGAGTGGCATCCAGTTTGTCGAACCGTCGCCAGTACGAAATCATACGAACATAACCTAAAAAAAAGTATCCGGATTACTCCGTCCGGACGACTCACGGTTTGCTCGTACTTCTTGTTCGTCTCACACAACAGCGAACAGCATATTTTCGTTTTTCAATTAAATTTTTTTACTCTCGTATAGAGTGGCCGGACGAAAGGAAACGTCGACAGCGGGACCATGTCTTTCATACCCGGTTCGTTGGGTTTTGATGAATTCGGTACGCCGTTCATCATCATCAAAGACCAACACAAACAGCGTAGGTTGACTGGCATCGATGCTTTGAAGGTTTGTGGTTGTTTTATATTTACTGCTGGAAAAAAACGTACAAAGCCGATGGCGATTCTATTATTTCCGCGACTCGACCGCGCCGTCGTTCCTTGATCCAGACTAGTATGATCCTGAACAACCGTGTGTACGTGATCATTGACCAGGTGTGCTGCGAAGCTCGTCGGGTTTTACGGCACACACATGGTTGTTGTTTATTTCGACTTGAAACGTCACACCGATGTACAAAATATACTTATCATCATCGCCCAAGCCAATTATAACAATCATGTAAAATGTTAATTTTCATCATGTTTAGTCGCATATTATGGCCGCGCGGTCTATCGCCAAGACGTTGTACACGTCGTTGGGTCCAAAAGGTTTGGACAAAATGATGGTGTCATCTGACGGTGAAGTGACTGTTACCAACGATGGTGCCACCATTTTGAATATGATGGATGTTGATCACGAGATCGCTAAGCTCATGGTACAACTGTCTCAGTCTCAAGATAATGAAATCGGTGATGGAACTACTGGTGTTGTAGGTATGTAAAGTGTTATTCATTTTTAATGCAATTATTATTTGTACTAATAAGTTTTATCCTGTTATAGTGATCGCTGGAGCTTTGCTTGAACAAGCTGAACATTTGCTTGATCAGGGTATACATCCTATCCGAATTGCAGATGGTTTTGAATTGGCCGCTCAGAGTGCTTGCAAGCATTTAGACTCAATTGCTGATTCATTTCCAGTTGATATAAACAACTTGGAACCCCTTATTAAAACAGCAATGACAACTCTGGGATCCAAAATGTAAGGAACATTATTTAATAAATTGTTCAGATTAAGAATATATCACCTTTGCGCATTGGTGGGATTGGAACTAATCGTTCGGGTGGGTTGAACATGTCGGTCTGATTTGCAGAGGTAGCCATAGTGGGGTTCGATGCGTGAACAACAACAACAACAACAATTCTGTCAGCTGCCCGGTCTGTTCTTATTCTGAATAGAGTATAGTCTAATTTTTATTAATAAGTAATTAAAAGGATAGAATATAATGCATTGCATCTGACCCTTATTTGATGGTTTTAGTTTAATTACTGAATATAAAATAGTTAAGGTTTTAAGGTGGGTATATCAATATTATGAATTGTAGAAAAAATTCTCCAGAGAAAGACCAGGAAAAAATTTCCCCGATTACAATATTACGACACAGTATTTTTAAATAAAAATGGTAAATAGGTACTTATTATTAATCAATATACCAAATTTAATGTTGTATACTAAAACTCAATCATTGTCAGGTACCTATTAAAGAATCATTAATTTCTAGAGAACAGATTTATATGTAATACAAATACATAAATATGGAATTAAAATTATTATTTCTTAATCAGTATTATTTATGGAAAAACGATACATTAAATATAATTAATCAATTATAAAAAAATAACAAATTAAAAATGCATAATGCATTGAATAATTAAAATTTCTGTTAAATTATTAAATGTTAAATTAGGTCTCAAAAAATTTTAAAACTGCTAAATGATCGTTCCACATTAACTCATATGATATTGGAGCAAATTTCTAATGCATAATTTTTGACAATTACAAATTTTTAGAAGAGTTTACCACTCATTATGTCATTTATTGTTTTAAAATCAATGTGGTCTGGATTTTTTTCTGTAACAGCATACATTTTGTGTTTTGCAACATCTCCTATTTACCGCAATAAAAATGATTTACATCTTGAACTTTTCTTATCAAATCTTAAATATCTTGTTTTAATAAAAATATGCATTTACATATAAACCCGTTTCCTATTAATTACCTAATAAAAATTAAAAACCATGCCATCTTTAATTTTTAAAATTAACTTTAAAATTTTATTTTCATTTCCTAGCATCAAAACTACTTATATTACTTTATTTAAATTTTGTATTACAATATTATGTACAATTCTGTGAAAAAAAAATGAAATACAGTTTTGTTCCTCGTGAGGGTTATTGTCGATAATTTAGTAGAGCACAGTCAAGTCAAACATGTAACCCTCTGCTTGTTTTTTTATGACTCATACATAGCAATATTAATAAACAATAAATTTAAAAAAAAAATATTCAATTTTCCTTTTATTGTCACAATTGTGTTAGTTCGAGGTATACATACAGAGGTGTTACTTTTCTGTCTTATCTTCTGACCGTTGAGTGTTACTGCTGGGTAACTACTCCCCTCACGCTTTCAAAGCCAATTGTAATCCAGCTCATATGCTTATTGTAACTATTATTACAAATTGTATATATTCAAATAAATTTAAAAAAAAAAAACTTATGATAAACTGTAATTGAATAAGTATTGGATAGTACCTACCTATTGTAAGTAATTAAAAATTTGTATAAAATGTTTTTTAAGGTTCCGTACGGTAAAATGAGAACCTATTACTTCCGTCCGTCCATCTGTCACCAGGCTGTATCTTATGAACCATAAAAGTTAGATAGTTGAAATTTTCACAGATTATGTATTTCTGTTGCCGCTATAACAATACTAAAAATCCTAGAATAAATAATATAAGCAGTGTTGCCAACATGTTTATAGATGATGGTACGGAAACCTACGTGCGCGAGTTCAACTCGCACTTGGTCGGTTTTTATTTTTTTATATACATTTTTATGTTCGGCCTGCATAGTAAACTATTCAATATATTTGGCCCAGTCAATGCTTTGAGTTTGGTGACCTGTATTAGAGTATACATTGAGTTATATATTCTGTAATTATATGTGCATTTTTTTTAAGATGATTCATTTTGGGTATTTTTATTCCAATTGCCATCAATAATAGATTTGTCTTAAAGTATTACTTATTTTTTATTTTTTCATAATATCTATGATGTAAATATAATTTTAGTGTGAACAAATGCCATCGTCAAATGGCCGAAATAGCTGTAAATGCAGTAATAGCTGTAGCAGATTTTGATAAACGTGATGTCAATTTTGAGTTGATCAAAGTCCAAGGAAAAGAAGGAGGAAGATTAGAAGACACAATGTTAGTAAAAGGAGTTGTAGTTGATAAAGACTTTTCACATCCTCAAATGCCAAAAGTAAGTACATATTACACTATTTAATTTTTATTGTGAATGTTGTTATACTTAACATATTTTTAGGAACTGAGAAATGTTCATCTTGCCATCCTCACCTGTCCGTTTGAACCACCTAAGCCAAAGACCAAGCATAAGTTGGATGTAGCTTCAGTTGAAGACTATAGAGCACTAAGGAAATACGAACAAGATACATTCAATGATATGGTTAAAAAGGTGAAAGATGCTGGTGCTACATTAGCAATTTGTCAGTGGGGTTTTGATGATGAAGCTAATCATTTGTTATTGAAACACGAATTACCTGCTGTACGTTGGGTTGGTGGACCTGAGATTGAAGTAAGTAATATTTAAATAAAGGTATTTTCTATTATATGTATTACCTGTTTACTTTATTAATAGAAAGTTAATAAAGTAAAGAGTTGTAACTTTCAAATATAAAAACCAATACTAAATATATGTTCAAACTTATTACAGTTAATTGCAATCGCAACTGGAGGTAGAATCATTCCTCGTTTTGAAGAAGTTTCTAAAGAAAAACTGGGTTATGCTGGTAAAGTTAGCGAACTTTCTTTTGGTACCACTAAAGACAAAATGTTGGTGATTGAAGAATGCAAGAATTCTCGTGCTGTCACCATATTTATACGTGGCGGAAATAAAATGGTTGGTTAATTTAATACATCTAATATTACCAATGTGAATTATGAACTAAAGACATTCTGTGTTAATCTAGATCATTGAAGAAGCCAAACGCAGTATTCATGATGCTTTATGTGTCGTTCGAAACTTGGTGCAAGATAACCGTATAGTTTATGGTGGTGGTGCAGCTGAAATTTCATGTGGTATCGCTGTTTCTACAGAAGCAGACAAAATTTCTTCTATTGAGCAATATGCATACAGGGCATTTGCAGATGCTTTAGAAAGCGTTCCATTAGCTTTAGCTGAGAACAGTGGTTTGTCACCAATTGATACGTTAACTCAAGTTAGAGCCAGACAAATCAAAGAAAATAACCCAGCTCTTGGGATAGATTGTATGCTTGTTGGAACTAATGGTAAATTATTTTGTTTATTTGTTATATTTATTTTTTTGTACTTTGTTTATAAAAATGTTTTATTTTTATCTAGACATGAAAGAACAAAATGTTATCGAGACTCTTCACAGCAAGAAACAACAGATTATTTTAGCTGCACAACTAGTTAAAATGATTTTGAAAATTGATGACGTCAGAGTTCCAGGAGAAAATTTTGATTAGATTTAATATCTTTAAAACACTCTATACTGATGATCAGCGCTTACTTGTTTTCCTAAAACCAGTCCTTTTTTTATGTTCTAAATTTACATTAATAATAATTGTGTAAGTTAAGTTATACATTTTTTCTATTAATAAAATACACTACTAATCAATTAAAATTGGACGTATATTTAACTTCAAACTATAATTCTAACAAGATTACAATATTCGCCACATGAACTATTTTTTTTTTATTGAAGCACACAAAATGGCACTTTTCGTTCTTTCATGTCGTACTCATCATTGCTGTTATTCATGCCATCAGCAGACATGCCTGTGCCCCCCAACACACCGGGAGGGCACACTGTTTGTCATCTCATTGCTAGAGTTGATACCATTGGCGGTCGTACCGGCTTATTATCCAGTATACGCTCCAATTCAGCCATTACATTTGAGTTGAGTTTTGGCAACAACTAAAACAGAAAATAATACAAAATGGTTGGTGTAGCTGTTAAAACATTAAATTACATTAGATTTTTATTTTTATTAATTATTATTATCGCAATAACATTTTAAAATAAATACATTTTTTAATATAATACATATATTTTGTAAATCCATTTTTTTACCTGTAGTCCGTGCAAAGCGTGATAAAACTGGTGTGTTGTTGCTGCTCCTAGTAAGAGACACTGAACACTTTCGTTTTTTAATGTCCACGCTATACACAGTTGAACTAAGCTACAGCCTAGACGGTCTGCTATTAATGAAATTGAAAACAATATTTCCTTAGTATTTCTTGCTGTTAATGGTTCGTTGTTCTGAAATGTAAAAAAAATGCATTTATGTGTTCAGCACTATGGTCTATAGTAATAGTTAAAATATCTAATTATAGTACTGTCAGTACCTCTTTACTGGGAGGTTTTCGATCGTCTTGGTTCCAACTGATACTGGAAGCTTTAGTCTGAAATGCATAAGACATCTAATTTGTATACGTTCAACTATTTATGGATGACTAATCCAATTACTTAACTCACCCTATTGGACGATCGGCTTCTGAGCGAATCTTTAAAAGAAGGCAATAATCCCATGGCTAATGGCGACCAAGCCATTAAACCCACTCCTGAATATTTGTATACAATATTAAAATCAAATGTATTCATTTAACAATCAATGTGGTGATAATATTATGTTACTGACCGATTTTATTGTACAGTTCAGGCATATAAATCTCAACTTTTTCCCTGCATAACATATGATATTCGGATTGTTCTAAGATAGGTGTAGAGCAATTCAATTGTCTGCAAGCAGTGTACATTTCCGTGACATCGATCGGTGACCATTTAGCTGTGCCCCAATACATTATTAGTCCTTCCGATACAAGAAAATCCATGGCTCTAACTACTTCTGCAAATATACATTATACTAGTTATTATCATAAACCATTGATTAAATATACAATGTACCTATGAAATATTTATTCAATGATATTGCATTTCATTATGTCAGTATGCGAGTTAGGTTAGCCTGTTGCGAATATTTTTCTTGTAATTTTTCGTATTATACGTAATAAATCATAATTAACTATAACATATAGTAATATAGTAACATATAGTTATATATAACCACAGAATATATTAAATTAAATCTATTCTGTGTTTTGACACAATGAAGTCTGATACTATTTAGTAGTGACTAGTGGTTGAAATTATAAAAATGTAGCTTAGAATTTATTTGAATATTTGATTAATACAGAGTACACTAATGGACTAATCTACATATTATATGAGATAGGTAATAATATTTTTGTATATCAGTTAATTATAATATCATATTAATAATAATATAATATGTCACTATAGTCTATGGCATAGACTCTATGCTATACTCTATAACTATATGATTGTCATGATAACCATATATTGATATACCATGTACATGTAGTATATACGTATAACGTATATAATATAATAAGTTTATTCAGCTGCGAACTATGAATGTGAGAGCAATGCCTACAGTCATACCATTCCCCAATATTTCCTATACTTTCTAGTCTACAGACGTTCCGCGTACCTAGCATTTACTCGATATCATATTTAAGACTCTGCCCTTACCCGTAGTAATACCAAATTTTTACCCGGCCCTTACTCGGTACCGTGGTAATACCTAAATTTGTACCCGGCCTTTAAGGCTGGTTTCCACTATACACGTATGCGTGTACGTGTATGAAAATCCTTTGCTGTGATTGGTTGGTTAGGATCAGTTACCACACGATTAACCACGATACCGTGTTTGCTGAACATTTTTCGTGTACACGGCAAACGTGTATTATGGAAACCCACCTTTACTCTGTACCGGCGTCATACCTAGGTACATTTTTACCCGGCCCTTACTCGGTACCCGATAAGAATTAACAATTTTACTCGGTACCCGGTTTATAACAAATTATCTACCCGGAACATCTCTACTACCTACGCATTATACAATCACAGCAATTAACAAGAATTTAACAAACCTTCGAGCGGACACATCGGATCGGCTTTTTGTATTAGAACTATGTCTATGTAGTCGAGTTCAAGCCTAGCGACAGACGATCGAACCGATTCGATGATATGTTTACGTGACAACCCTCGTTCTTCGGATCTGTTGGATAGACAAAAAATGAAAAGCAAAATATTAGTAACTATATGCGGTACCACGTAAGCATAACATATAGGTATCGTTCGTAACTATGTTATGTAAATTTTTAATATATCTTTTATTAATTAAGGGCTCGTATTACTGCAATAGTCGATATCCAGTGGGTTAAGTGTAATCGACTACCTATTGTAATACGGGAGTCGGGCCCTAAGAGTTAGAACTTCTACAACACGATGGCCGATGACTGATAAATCCAGCTGAGGGTCATTTTTTAAATGGCATCAGACGTCAGCTTCGCGTGACTTCTTGTATTTATTTACGGGCCAAGGGCCAGGGCCCATGATCCCAATATATAATTCACGAACATTTTAAAATCTAGTAGGTGTTAGTGGTGTTACACATGCCCAACGTTTACCATGTGTTGCTCAATTTTACTACGATTCAGCTATAATAGAAATCTATATCTGTAATCTATATATAATATATATATATATATATTATAAAGAGGAAAGATTTGTATGTTAATGTTTGTAACAAATAAACTCAAAAACTACAGGGCCGATTTCAAAAATTCTTTCACAATAAGAATGCTACATTATTATCCCTGAGTAACATATAGGCTTATTAATTAAAAAGGGTAAATTATAGGTCCAGCCCGGGAAGGTGCTAAAACAGTGATTTTGAGATTTACAATGGAAACGTTTGTTTTAAATGTGACGCGGCCCGCATTATAGTAGCAAGTATATAACAAGCACTATAGCGACCAGTCTATCTTATCTCCAACCACCACTACGGGATGCGACCGGGTCGACCCTCACACCGAGCCGGTCACGACAAGGCGGGACGGAACTGTGTCGCGTAACTATGACGTATAACTGAAAAGACGATTCGAGTATCCATCATCGGACCGATAGCATATCGTCCGACGTTAAACTCATTGCCCGAGCGGCACGTCATGTATTATTATTTGGTCGTAATATTATATTACATAATTTGTGATATTCAGAAAGTGTTTGTGTTGTGTATTTTTCATCACCTCAATCCTAACCAGACACTTCGACCGGACCGCGATCAATAATGATTCAATCATCGGGTTCGCGTCAAATGGTTGCTATTGGTTTTATTAATTATTATTATTAAAGATATTCGCCTGTTGGCGCGGGTGTAACACGATTGCGCCCGGCTTACCTATTTCCATTCAAAAAACGCAATACGATTGCGCTCGACCAATTAGCAATATTGCGCCCGTCTATAACCTTTTTTACCTGCATAAAACGCAACACGATTGAGCTCTTAATAATTTTCCTTCCCAATTTTACAGGCTTAGGACTGACAACAAAATTAAATTGTTAGCTTGGTTAAAAATTTTGAGTTACAATTTTTTTTTTTTTTTTTTAATAATAATACTCTAATAGTAGCTCTAGCATAGATATTTCTTTTTAATTAAAAATGTCTAATTAAATATTTTTTTAATCATAATAATAATAAGAATAAAAATAATACTTGTGAATAAGTTGTTTTCACATTTTCTTTTAATTCGTGAATTTATTATTTGTCTACTAACGATATTTTCCAAAATATTTTCATGATTGTGTTCATTAAGCATGCTAAGAACTTTCGTAACATTATTGTCAACATATATACTCGATTGGCAATTTTTGTTAGTACACCGATACCGAATACTGCCTACGCTTTTAAGTATTTTATATTCCCTATATTTATGACCATTTACTAATATGCATGGTTTACCTTTCTCAGTATCGAACTTTTTTGATATACATAGATCCATTTTTTACACTATTATTATTTTCACGACGATACACTTTACGGAACAGCTAGTGAGTTAAACACGGTTTAAAATAGTTAACAGTCAACAGCCAACAGTCAATTGCAGCTCAAATGTAAAATCCGATCACGACACTATCATTGACGCATACTGATGGACGCAGTCCATGGATAATAAGATAAATTAACAATAAAACATATGGTGAAATCAAGTCCAAGGAAAACCAAGTCCGACTGTATTTTTAAATAGTGTACTAGAAAATTGTTATATAACATATACATATACGGGACAAACACATATATATATATTAGAGCGCAATCTTGTTGCGTTTTATGCAGGTAAAAAAGGTTATAGACTGGCGCGATAGTGCTAATTGGTCGAGCGCAATCGTATTGCGTTTTTTGAATGGAAAAAGGTAAGCTGGGCGCAATCGTGGTTCACCGGTTGGCGCAGTGGCACTACTATATTATATTTTGTACAGAATGTCTCAGTTCGAACCACGGTTTCGTTGTACCTACCAATTTTTACATTGTTTTTTGTTTCTTATTTTTCTTCTTCATACATACGAATGCTTGGGTATATTTTTATTCATCTGGGTTTAGTACGGTTGGGTTAGGTTAGAACTTATGTACAAACCAAACGGGATCCGCTATCTAGCGCAGGTAGATTGACTACTAGAGAATATACTCAATATACTGCTATATGATAGCAAAATCATAAGCGAACATCACATACAACGCCGGTCGGGATGGCTATATTGCTATAATATACTAAAATATAATATAATTTATTATGTGGCTGTTTAATTTTGAGCGAACGGACGCGATTGTTTAACTTGCAGTTCTAATATTATATATTTATAAACATAAAACAAATGAATGATTTGTAGATATAAACAATTTTTCTACCTGAACAAATTTTCAAATTTTATCATTTGTTCATTTACAGGCCAGAATTTATAAAACTAGTAAGTAAACTATACTATTTTTTATTTTTTTTATTAGATGACCCGCGACAACGTAGGCCATTGGGTGGGGGTGGAACTGTGAGTTTTTGTATTTTTGTATTTTTGTATTGGATAGGTAATAGGTTTGGAACACGTATGTGTGTTGTGGGCGTTGTGGCAGAATTTCTAGTGGGGCACCAGTAAGTTTCTGCCATGTCCCGGGTGGGGGATGGCGGCACTTGTTCTCCGGACACCGTGACTTGCCTGAAGAAAAATGCCGCCCAGTGGCCGAGAATCGAACCAGCGACGACTGCGCCTTACACCACTCGGCCAACTATACTATTACTATAGTAAACAATAGTATTTTCCCTGGGTAGTGGGGAAAATAGTAAAAATGAGCCACACCAAACATATATGTTATAAGTAGGTACTTATAACTCATCATAAATAAACCACCTAAAATATGTTTGAACAGGTGTAAGACATTTAAAAAACAATTATTCAAAATGTACATACATTTATGCAAATCTTATACTTTGCCAAAATAATCATTAAATACTTAATAATAAAAAAAATGTACACATTGTACACATATTATCTGCCTACTTGTCTTATTTAAAACATTATTTTCTTTATTTGTCTTCAGCAAAAGTCAATGTAGTTTGATTAAAATCAATTGATGGTAACAAGTCATGTTCTGAAGATAATATAAATGATTTTAAGGATCCTTATTTCTTGAGATCGACCATAGTTCCAAATTTATTTCGTATACGTGCCAATTTTAAAAACGCTCGTTCAGCAGCACAATTTGCTACAGGAATTGTTAACACAACCAAACTGCAATTCAAATATTGGAAAGAATATTTTTTATTTTTGTTTCTTCAAACCATTCCAATATTTTATGCACATTTGAGGAATCGAATCGTGGTTTACTGAGATTCTATTCCAATATTCCCTAGATTTAATTAAATATTAAATATTTCAAAATACTTTTTTTTTATTTAGGTACTCTATTTTTTATGACAGTGAAATTCAGAATTCTTAATTTTTGTCTGGTTGCCACATAACAGTGTGGGTCCTGGATCTGGCCCCCTCTGCCCCTCCCCTTTAATCCGGGCCTGCACATTTAAATTGTAATCTGCTACAAATATATTATAATATTTAAATCTGTTGATCGTGGACTCAGTTGACTTTATATTATAATATATGGTAGATTATAGACGTACTTATAGTGCCAGTGTATTTTGGTGATGACGCTGTACGACACACGTTTCCAGTTTTTCCTCTTGAGTATGGCACCGAGCTGGGTCTCAGCCTGTTCGCTGCTCTGTGGACCCTCGGTCAGATCGAACAGGTTGATGCCGGCATTGTACGCGGCCGTCACCACCGCGTCCAGCTGTTCTTCATTGATGGCCGTGTTGTACGTTGTCCACGTGGCCAGCCCGATGTTGGACACGCGCAAGCCGCTCTTTCCCAGGTTCCGGTACCGGAGCCCTGACGTCAGGCTAGGCGACTGCGCCGCTGACGACACCCGGTCAACCGACTCCTTGACCGCGGCCGCTTGCAGCTTGGCGCACAGCTGTTCCGTGGTGCTGCCCAGGTCGGCCATGCAGTCCAGGCTGGCTATCGGCGCCTTGCATCTGCCAACAAGAACGAATCGTTCATTACAACATCACAATATCACATAGGTACATAAATACAGTGGCGTTCTCAGAAATTGTCAAGGGGGAGGGGTTGTGGATAATATCTAGGAACATAGGTAGAGGGACTATCGTAGCATAAAAAAACGGGCGCGTAAAGACACCCCCCCCCCCTCTAAATACGTCCCATGTATGATGTATTGGTAGGTTACTTTTATGCGGCTATATTATATAAATAATATTATTTAATATTTATAGTACCTACTGAACTATACTGACACTTCCATAAAAACCATAAAAATAAGTTACTACTAATATAATAGTTGATTATAATTAACAAAACTATTTCTATATAGGTAATAGCAAAGAATATAAAACAGAATCTGTGTTAAACTTTTTTTTGAACAAGCTAATATAACTAAGTTAGGTTCCTACTTTAGCCGAAAAAAATAATGTTTTTGGGTCCAAGGTAGTAAATGTTGATTCCAAAATTAGTCCAAAATAGAATATAATAATTATAAGAATAAAAAATTGTTCCTATAGGTATATTAATGGCTATTAATACATACCTACCTACTCGTCAAACCTACAATTGGTTGGGGTGGAGGGGGATAGTTTAGTGGGTTAAGTAGCTTAAAGTAGGTTAGGTAGCTTAAATCTTTGTCAACCTTGATCATATCCAGCCTACTATCGCTTTGAATTACCTGCCTAGTCGCCCAGATGAAGTTAAACAATATATACAAAGGCATAGAGATCGTTATATTCATTGTAAATAAGATATCTATATATTTATTTACTGCATTACTGCAATATGTGCTCAGAGACTTGGAAATAATGGAAATACGATTGGAATAATTCGCATGGAACATTAGAACGTTTCAAAATTTACTAATAAAGAGTCTACAGTGGTCTATAATTTACTAAATGAGGATACTTGCATAATTTATGTATCTGCAGTATAGTGGAATATGAATCCATAATACTGCTGCAGTAGCGTAAAACTGTTGGGTTTTATTATAGTGTTAAAAGTTTTGTCGTTTCTTTTTAAATTATACGTAGTACCTTCCTAAGTTTTTTACAGTTTTTCTTACACCAGTGCACCACATAATAGTTTATATGAAAAACTAATATACGGATATCCAACTGCAGTATTTCTACATCTAATAAAGCTAGCTTAGCCAGCGCAGTATAATTATATTTTTAGTACCTAATACCTATTAACTATCTGCAATCATCAATGTATCATAAATCATAATATAATATTACTTGACACTATAGGACAGTAGGTACTACTGTACTAGGTACACCAGCACCAATATGCCTTAATTAATCGCATATTTGCATATAAAATATACAGTTTCCATTTACCTATTGAATATTATAGTAAAATCCCCGGGGTTGAACTGTTGAAGCTATGCGAAAGTAGTTCAGTCCCCGGTTCAGAAAAAAAAGAAGGTTATAATATATAGCTGGTTATAATTGTGCATGATGATGTAGTTCTGATCTGACCATCAAAAACCGTACGAACATTGTTTTATAATTACACAAAATAGTTGTGCCGAATATTTATACAAACATTATGGTCTCAGAAAACTAGAATTCAAAGTATGTAAGTAGATATTGGTTACGATTGAGCATAATACCATATATTTAAAAATGTTTAGCTACCTACACGGTTAAGCATAGAATATAATATGTAACTTCGACGTTGCTATACAAGGGATACAATAATAAACAGATATGATGAATTGTAACATCGACATTTTGTCATGCTTAATTGCGTAAGTGTAAGATTTGTGTTTCTATATTTTTTGAATTTTTATAAACCTACAAATTTCCTCAATCTGCATGATTTTAAAAGGGCGTTTTATGCTCAATCGCTGGTCATAGGCCCGTTATAATCGCTGTAAGATAACCACATAATTATAGTAGTATACCTGAGGACCAAATGCATTATTATTTATTTATTTATTCATTACAAATTTACAATAATAAATTTGGAGTTATTATCATAAATTAAAAATATTAACTTATCTTCAGAAATGTTTCGATAGTGACAACTGACAACTAACATGAATACATTAGGTATGCCTACAATACTATTATAAATAGTACTTATAACAATGGTACAAGTTTTGAGAATGTTCAATTACCATAGGTACCTACCGTTCACTTTGGTGATTAGAGAAATTTAAATATTCAATTTCTCGGATTAATGCCTTATATCATTGATTATTATTCAGATTTCGAAATAATACCAAAAAAATGAATCCGGTGGTCAATGGTATTATGTACCTATACCCAGTTAATTACCCAGTTACTTAAGTTATAGTCGTGACTCGTACGTTAAAATGTATCAGTTGTTGGTACAACTCATACAGACGGTATAGTTATACATAATAACAGATTTATTATCCTAATTATTCTGAAACTTTAAATAAATTGTGAACACTTCATCGTAAAAATCATACGGAGCAAAAGTCAAAACTTTGAACACGCTCGAGTATGCAAATCGACAGTTGTACACTTGAACTTAAATGAATAGTTAAATAATTACAATTCGTGACAATTTTCAAGTAAAACTATAGTACCTACACAATATGACGTATCACGTATGATGCATATATAGGCATATTTAATATTATATAGTTGTCCGAGGCATAATTATGCACACATACAATTTTAAGCAAGGACAAGGGGAATATGGTGAGGCAGGAGGGTAACGTCAGCAGCTGTAAGGGTTTTATCGATTCCCCGTCAGAGTTTTAGAGACTGCTTGACGCCTTTGCCGTGGCCGCGTGCGGAACGTGACGTACCTCTCTATATCTCTGACGTCGACCCAAAACGTTCTAATGTACCTATATATAAAGCCTATTACGCATATAGGTATATATTTATATACGAAATAAAAACGAGTGTTTTAAAGGAAAAAATATTGTATCTACGATTGGAATGCATATTTTAAGCATATTGTACACGTTTATTATAGTTGTATAAATTCAAATAAATCTACTATTTTTTTTTTAATTTGAAATTATACAAAAATATATTTATGGTGTACTGTGGACGGGAGCGAAATCGGCAGTACGTTTCTATAGAATATAGAAACACCACACACCGATATATCTATATGCCTATATATTTGAAAACACTGCTAGTACAAATAATAAATCACCGAGCGTTTGTGCGTACCTACGTATATGTTATGATAGCTTACTTATACAGAGACGTCTGTTGCGAGTCGTCTTTGCTAGAGCTGCTGGTCCTCTGGGGACCGCCTCCGTCGTTTACGGGAAATTGAAATAACATCTCGGGCTCGCGCGAAGTACAAAATATTATTAGCTGCAAGAGAAAGATGGACAGAGAGAGAGACAAGATATAGAGTCGTAGAAAAAGAGAGAAAGAGACAGAGAGAGTGAGACAGAGAGAGAGAGAGACAGAGATAGATAGATAGAGAGAAACGAAATACCGCGAACGGAATTCACATCATACGGCGGGCGGCGCGTGACGCGATATCGATGTGACGGCGGCGGCGGCGTCGACGGCGGCGGCAGCGGTGACCGCGACACGACGGCATAATATTATGGTATCGTCGCGCGCGCGCCCCGTACAGGTACCCGATACGCGATCGTAAACGATATTGTAATTACACAGTCGTATACAGCGGTTACCGCGCGTTTATATTGAAATATTATTAAACGACGTGTACGAGTTAATACGGTACGATGCCGATGCGTACGTGCGGTGATGTTCCGTCTGCTGCTACAGCAGCACGCTTATTGTATTATTATTGTTGTGCGTGTCGCCCGATGCGCGCCCGGCGCCCGGAAGTCGCGGTCAACAGCTACGCGGGACCCATCACGCGTTTGCCCGCCGCTCACACCCACGACCCACGGGAGATATCGTCCGCCGTGTATCACGCGACCAGGGCGTTTGTACGCGTACAACTGCCGTATAGTCGTGCGTCGTGGGTAGTAACAGTTACGCCACCCCGGCGGGTGGTGGGCCGTCCGCGCGTGCGCGCGCTCACAGCCCAAGTTTGGAGGGTGCCTCGCCGACTTTCGGGAATTGATCGCCCCCCCTCCCCACCCACCTTAACCAACTCCGCCGTGGCGGTATAGGATAGTCTCAAAGCGCGGCGGTCGGGCAGTCGGCGGCGGTGGTCGGACTTTAGCGATCGCCGTCGACGGTGCTATAATTATATGTAGCGCCTCCTGTGCTCTATAATAATATATATAGTAGACTGCACGCGTTTCGTTATTATTGTATCCAACATACAAGTACAAGCCGGACCAACGGATATGTGCTGAAATATTGGAAAAAACGACCGAAAAATGTCCTACGTATATTTTGTTGTAATATGTATACATTATACATAGTATTATTATGTCTATTGATATTTGTAGGTAACAACTATTCAAGTAGGTGTGAATCGTGTTGTCGGCCAACAATATAATATTATATAAATGATGCGCGCATGAGCAGTACGCGTTCGGCGGTGTACAAGCGAATGATTTTAAACGATTATAATAATAATAATAGGCATTATATACATATCAACTAACTGTTGCGTATAGATACGATATAATATTATTATTATACAGTAATGTAATACTATAAGCATCGAAAATTCTGCCAACAAGTTCTCGTATATATTACTGCAATAATAGACTCATTAACTGCAGCAATAAACCCAAATAAGAAGCTTACGGTTATATTAAAATGTATGGTCATCATTCGGTGCAATATATATTTAAATCGACTGCGTGTGTAGGGCAGATCGATAGCTATTTATACATATAGATAAAGATAGATACTATATAGATACTACAACTGGTGCTAGATATAATATTATATTAGGTGTATAGTTTTGCATAAAGAAAAACGCGCTTACATGGATTGAACGGACCCGGACAGGCTGTCGACGTAGTGTAGCTCGGCGAGGGACTCTGACGCGGCGGCCGAGGCGGCTTGCGCCTGTATCTCCCTCTCCAGTCTTTCGGCGTTTCGCTCGGCGCGTTCGGCCCGCTGGTGGGCCCACTGCTGCTGTGTGTACAGCTCGTGCCGGGCCGCCGCCTCGGCCATTTCCTTTTTCTCCTTCTTCTCCTCGTCCGTCTGCGCGCGGCACGAGCCCGAGCCCGAACCCCAACCGAGCCAAAACTGATGGGCCAGCTTGGAAGGTTCGATCACGCCGCCGCCCGTCCGATATAATAATATTATATTATTACTATTACACCAACTATATACCGCTCGACCGGCGTATATATAGTAGCGTAGGGAATCGTATATTAATATTACCACACTCGTCCGCCACCGACTCCTTCTCCTTTTACTTCTCCTCCTACACCTCCTTCTCCAACACCGCCACCACCACCACCATCACTACCATCACAACCACCACTACCTATCTTGCCGCGTGTGGTCTACGCGTGTACGCAGAATAAAGCGTGTAGTACTCCGGTCGTATAATGATATACGTACCGATGAGATAGTGTTTCCTCCTCCCCGCCACGACCATTTATTATTGTATATTGTTGTTGTTGTTGTTGTTGTAGCACAATATTGTGATTGTAATATGGTATAATATTATATTACCTACATTATCGTCGTTAAATATTATATATTACATTGTGTATTTCTATTGTGTATTGTTGTGTGCCACAAGTGAATTATTTTCACGCGACGAAACCGTGCCCGCAGTCCACAATTATTATTGTTGTAATAATACGACGCGCGCTCCCAACGCGGTGCACCGCACCACCGCGTCGCCGACGACGACGGACGCGTTTAATAATAGAACCGCCCGAGTCGGGCGTGTGCGCGAACCGCTATACCATTCCAAGCATTCGGCAGTGGCGGCGGCGATGACGGACGTTAAAAGTTCAGGCCGTCGAGGGCACGTTGCACAGGCTGTGTACGACTGCAATTACAATTAATAATTACGCGTACGACGACGATGACGACGTACAAATCGGCTCGGCGGCGGCGTAAAGGTGGCGAGCGCGGTAAATCGCGACGATATATTAATGGATCGCGGCGACGGCCGTAGACTCATGTATTATAGTTATCGTGGTCGTACGATATAATAATATTATTATCGCAATGTATTTTAGCGGCCACACCACTCGGCGGTAGTCTGTCTTCACTCTTACGGAACTGAACGAAACGAAAAGCGAACTATGAATACGAAAACTGGATAGATAATATTTTAATTGACAATAATTTAAAATAATTTATTATACTATACAGAGCGGGTGTGTGAAACGAATGCAATTCGTTATGGGCAATCGACGCGTTTTAAAACTACGAAAATTCGACCGCCGCGGGTCGGGACGACGGTTAATCGCGGGGACCAACAGGCGTCGGTTCGCTAGGGGCGTATGGGGGATTTTATTTTCGTAATCCGCTCGGCGGCGGCGGCCTCTGGTTGCTCGTGTTTGGACACACAAACACACACACACACACACCTACACACACGCACACACACGGTGAATAGGAAACGACGGCGCACGATCGTTCACGGGCCACAACACACCCCCGCCGACGACGGTCTAAATACGCTGCTCGAGCGCTTCGCGGATATCTTCCACGCGCCGCCGCCGCCGCCGACCTGGCATAGCGTCACACGGGCGGCACGCTACGGCTGGCGTCGCCATAGGTATATACAGGGTGTTTTTCAGAAATCTAAAACGCTTCAATCGTCCGTTATTTGAATTCGGATTTCTTAATTGTTGTCTATAATTATGAATTATATTGGTAGAGGTACTAGAAGACTATATTATTATAATTTATAACAGAAATTATTTTCATTCCTTTGCGTTTTTTCTTCATTTATACCATTGAGAGACTTTTTTACTGTTAACTTTGAAAATGTGTAGGATGTATCTAAATCGATATTCGAACGAGTACCTATTTTCAAATATATTACACGCAACTACACAAGCTTTATACTATTAGTACGATGTATCTATTCTAAAAGATATAAATATATAATATTCTATATGATCACTATCAGTTTTGACGATTTTAAAATATTAATATTCAATTTACAATATTAATTCTATTAGTATCTTATAATATGTAAAAACTGTCCGAGTAGGTTGTACGAGTAACAAAAAAATATATTATATACCTAAGCTTATAATAGGATCTATTTTTATATAATATAGGTACAGTTATAGCCTACATTATATATAATTATCACGGAATCAAATCCTGACTTTATAATAGAATAGGTAATATTTAAGCTCAAGCAAAGATAATAATTTAGAAAATGTATTGTTTAAAAGTAAGTTTTATAGTTTTAGTTTATGGGGCTTAACAATTTAAAAACTACTCGTTCGAATTTCTATTCAGATAAATCATCTGCTCTTCGATTTACAGTAAAAAAAAAGAGTTTCTCATTGAAACAACATATTTGTATACCTATGTATCGCCTCTGAACTTAATAGACATAACAATTTTTTTGGAATTGAAAATAATAATATGCTCTTCAAGTAAAATATACTAGACAATTTCTATTTCAATTTGAGAGATCAAAGGATATAATGGTGGTGACTGGCGAGCATGCTTTCAAGTGAATCATCCTGTATATATAGAGTTTGTATACGTGTATGAGCGCCACGCGACATTTTCGATAAAAACAAAAGTCGCAAAGGGTGCCGTTGAACGTTGGGCGGATGGCGGTATAGTGTTGCCTCCGGCGCTCTAGCGCATACTTTATTATAATATAATAATATATTATAATAGTGTTCTCCTGCGCGCATGTGTATTATAGTAAAAATACGACAAACGCGCACGCTCGAGGCAGACGTGGACTGTGGAGTGTGTTTGTGAATTGTGAATATGTCACGAATCGTAATTTATAGTAATATATAATCATTTCTTCATAGCTATTAGCTGTTTGTTTCCGACGACCGTAATTTAAATTTGTATACAGTGCTATGTACGTACATAGAAATGATGGTAGACATTTTGTATAAAATATGAGAATTTTAAAGTAGAATTTAAAAAAAAATAAACACTATTGTAAAACCACTAGCTTCCTCTCTACGCTCAGAATCTAAAAACTGTGGGTCCGGAATCTGGTTACGAAAAATGTTTGGACTTTCTTTTTAATATCCAGAGAAGTTTCTTACTGTTTTATAGAAAATTTTATGGCACACTGCGCCCTAATGATCTAAAAACCTTGACATTTTGTGATTATTTAACTGAAAATTACATTGATAAATTTTCGAGATTTCCGCCCAATGTTTTGGCCTCTTTTGCAATTAGTTCTGAGCAAACCACAAACAGTTGTGAATCTTTTTATTGAGAAATCAATTCCTTGTTTACAAAATCACACAAAAACATTTGTTTATTTATAAACGTCGTAAACACAAGGATCCAAACCAGGGACTCGAACCTTTTGAATTTATCTGTATCGGTTCAGGTACCGGTTCTCAAAAATAAAAAACGGTTCCGGTTCGGTTCTGGTTCTTCGATGAAAAAAAATAAAGGTACCGGTTCCAGCTAATTTTTAGTAGGAACTTAAATAAATATTATTATTATTATTATTAATTTGTATTTATAGATAATAGGTACCTATGTATGTAATTTTTGTACAAAAATATGGAAAAAGTAAAATTGACCTAAAGTTTTTGTGATAAGTGGACTTCTGCAGTGGCGCACACTGGAGGGTTCAAGGGTAGCAGTTGCTACCCCTGATTTTTTTGGTAGGTGGGTGGGTGGACCCCCTGGCTCCAAAATATTTACATCATGAACATTCTATTATACGTATAAAAATATTGAAAATAAACTATTAAATAATTATAGGCTATAGCCATTAGTCTATTAGCCAATATAGAGGTAACCGAATCAATTTGCTACCCCTATTTATTTTTGAGTGTGCGCCACTGGACTTCTGAGAACTCTAAAAAATGTTATGCATGTTGCTTAATAAAAATAACTGACAAAGTTTTTGCAATCAGCTAATGGCCATAGTCGCCGGGCTTTAAAGATCAATAAAAAAAAAATTTACTTATTGTATTATAATTTATTACAGATTGTAAATATGCTCTATTTTTATCTAATAAAAATAAATAAATAAAATTATTATATTTTAGAACCTAAAAGAGCCTATATAATATAAAAATGCCTGTTCGGTTCCGGTACTTTATATATTAAAATAAAGGTTCCGGTTCCGGTTCTTAAAATTGTAAAGGTTCCGGTTCCAGAACCGGTTCTTTTAGGTTCGGTTTCAAGTCCCTGATCCAAACAGATACATTTGTACATTATTCTCAGGTCAACTCACCAAATAAAAATTAGTAAAAACACAGATTATGAAGCTAAAAAAAATCTTTCACATTTCATTAGTTCGCCATTTTAACTATGTTTGACTATACGTATATTGTATACAAATAAATAATAATAATAAATATTGAACGACTTTTGACATTTGACGATGTATATATTATTATAATAACAATTTTTATCAAATTTAATTCATATTATTTTATATATATGTATATTATACTGTATTGTATTTAATATTTATCGTATTGATTATTAATTTAATATAAATATTTTAATTATCAGACATCAGTAAATGTTGAATTATTTATTAGTTATATTATTACTATTACAGCAGAAACAGGTTGATAGTAACTGCAGGTGCCAGGTTGAGGTAAACATATAGGTAGGTGGCGGAATCCATAGGTTGTTTTTAGAGTAATTTAGTCATTTAGACTACTTGTACTGGCGAAATAGATTTTACATTGGCGGAATCGATAGGTCCTCTGTGGAGGAATATCTCCCCCACACCGCTGTTTCTGGGTAAATCTAAAAGTTCCAAATGTACAAATACATATACCAAAATGTGCTAAATAGCATTATCTCATCATATATTATGTTGACATATATACACAGTTTTATTGATAGCCATCCACCTCGCCACACCAGGCCATATAAATATATAATACCTATGTTATCGATCTGTAATTAATAAAATGAAAAACATATTCCTAGAAAAGATTAATGTAATTTATTATAATTTTATTAAAACCTATTATTATTTAATGTTTTGGGTAAATAATATAGTTTTGATGGTGTTATAGCCAACTATAGTACTGTGGTTACTATTGAAATTTTAATCGTTGCAAGCAAAACTCGGCAAAAAGAGTACGCGGTAAAAAAGTTATAGGAAAACAAAGATCGGGTAAAAAAAAACCCGAGCATAAACAGTCCATTGTAAAAAAAATCTGGGGTAATAATAAGGTCAAGCAATCATTACTTTTCAAAATCATTTGAATAATTTCATATAACATATTATTAACATAAAAAATCCTTATATAGATGCTTAGTGATTTGAAACAATTTTATTTTGTAATAAAAAATTATAAAAACAGTATTCCCGAACATTTATATTTGGTTTTCATAATACATTTCCATTGTTTTGCCTTAACTGAACTTGAATGAATATTTTATAGTAAATAATAACATTTTAATACTAATTTTTATAAAACATATTATAGGTACCTATATATTATGTTTTTATAATATAATTATAATTTATCATTGATAATATTGAATAATGATACTTGATAGTGGCTAATGATTCGATGGTGTACATTTTATAACTGGATTCATATAAAAATATAAATGTATTATAAATTATTGTATAAATAACATAAAAGAAATGAATAGGTACCTATTTTGAAATGGGTATTATCATAAATGGGGACGTAGATCTCACAAGTGCGGCAATTTTAATGTATAGGACGTCAGGTCACGCACTAATTAATACCGACAAGAACGTTAGTAATTGTTCAACATATCAGTTAATTAATTTAAATAAACTCTTCTTCTTTTACCTTATTTTAATATGTACCAAACTTGTCCCATGTAGGTTGACATTAAAGATCATCACGACATAACATTGCTTAGTATAATACTATATAGTATATAAACCATTTGTTATGTGTTCGTTACTGTGTGGATGTGGTTATGGTTATGAATCATAACTTATGATTATAATATAATATGTGAGTAATATTATATGATTATGTAAATACTGGTTAGTGATTACTGATTTATATTGACCTTACCTATATGCTATACCCATAATATTAATGTGATCTGCATAGCTAGTGCTTGAATATTTCGCATACGTACTCTCATTAGTTATTTATAGCCTGTACAGGGATTGAAGTACCATAATAGTTGTTAACAGTTAATGCAAAACGAATAGGTTTGCTTTGTAAGTTTTAATTACTTATTAGTTATTACAATTTACAGATACTACCTATTATACCTCAGCTTACATGAATAAAACGATAAATTAAATTGATAAAATATCAATTAAATTGGAACAATTGCAAAAATACTTCATAAGCTGCCTAATAATAAAAGAAATTAGATGACAGAAATTAATATCACATGTAGGAACTGCAGCCGTTGTCCCAATGAGAGTCACGTTGTTCAAAACTTCAGTAGTGGTTACAAACTCATTGGAGGTGCTCGCAGAATTGGTATAATTTGTAGGAACTGACGTTGTTGTCTCAATAAGGGTCACATTATCCACAACTTCATCAGTGGTTGAAAATCCAGTAGAGGTGTCCGGATAATAAGTATGACGCGTAGGAACTGCCGTCGTTGTCCCAACGAAGGTCACGTTGTTCAAAACTTCAGTAGTGGTTACAACCTCATTGGAGGTGCTCGCAGAATTGGTATAATTTGTAGGAACTGACGTTGTTGTCTCAATAAGGGTCACATTATCCACAACTTCATCAGTGGTTGAAAATCCAGTAGAGGTGTCCGGATAATAAGTATGACGCGTAGGAACTGCCGTCGTTGTCCCAACGAAGGTCACGTTGTTCAAAACTTCAGTAGTGGTTACAACCTCATTGGAGGTGCTCGCAGAATTGGTATAATTTGTAGGAACTGACGTTGTTGTCTCAATAAGGGTCACATTATCCACAACTTCATCAGTGGTTGAAAATCCAGTAGAGGTGTCCGGATAATAAGTATGACGCGTAGGAACTGCCGTCGTTGTCCCAACGAGGGTCACGTTGTTCAAAACTTCAGTAGTGGTTACAAACTCATTGGGGGTGCTCGCAGAATTGGTATAATTTGTAGGAACTGACGTTGTTGTCTCAATAAGGGTCACATTATCCACAACTTCATCAGTAGTTGAAAATCCAGTAGAGGTGTCCGGATAATAAGTATGACGCGTAGGAACTGCCGTCGTTGTCCCAACGAGGGTCACGTTGTTCAAAACTTCAGTAGTGGTTACAAACTCATTGGAGGTGCTCGCAGAATTGGTATAATTTGTAGGAACTGACGTTGTTGTCTCAATAAGGGTCACATTATCCACAACTTCATCAGTAGTTGAAAATCCAGTAGAGGTGTCCGGATAATAAGTATGACGCGTAGGAACTGCCGTCGTTGTCCCAACGAGGGTCACGTTGTTCAAAACTTCAGTAGTGGTTACAAACTCATTGGAGGTGCTCGCAGAATTGGTATAATTTGTAGGAACTGACGTTGTTGTCTCAATAAGGGTCACATTATCCACAACTTCATCAGTGGTTGAAAATCCAGTAGAGGTGTCCGGATAATAAGTATGACGCGTAGGAACTGCCGTCGTTGTCCCAACGAAGGTCACGTTGTTCAAAACTTCAGTAGTGGTTACAACTTCATTGGAGGTGCTCGCAGAATTGGTATAATTTGTAGGAACTGACGTTGTTGTCTCAATAAGGGTCACATTATCCACAACTTCATCAGTGGTTGAAAATCCAGTAGAGGTGTCCGGATAATAAGTATGACGCGTAGGAACTGCCGTCGTTGTCCCAACGAAGGTCACGTTGTTCAAAACTTCAGTAGTGGTTACAACCTCATTGGAGGTGCTCGCAGAATTGGTATAATTTGTAGGAACTGACGTTGTTGTCTCAATAAGGGTCACATTATCCACAACTTCATCAGTGGTTGAAAATCCAGTAGAGGTGTCCGGATAATAAGTATGACGCGTAGGAACTGCCGTCGTTGTCCCAACGAGGGTCACGTTGTTCAAAACTTCAGTAGTGGTTACAAACTCATTGGGGGTGCTCGCAGAATTGGTATAATTTGTAGGAACTGACGTTGTTGTCTCAATAAGGGTCACATTATCCACAACTTCATCAGTAGTTGAAAATCCAGTAGAGGTGTCCGGATAATAAGTATGACGCGTAGGAACTGCCGTCGTTGTCCCAACGAGGGTCACGTTGTTCAAAACTTCAGTAGTGGTTACAAACTCATTGGAGGTGCTCGCAGAATTGGTATAATTTGTAGGAACTGACGTTGTTGTCTCAATAAGGGTCACATTATCCACAACTTCATCAGTGGTTGAAAATCCAGTAGAGGTGTCCGGATAATAAGTATGACGCGTAGGAACTGCCGTCGTTGTCCCAACGAAGGTCACGTTGTTCAAAACTTCAGTAGTGGTTACAACTTCATTGGAGGTGCTCGCAGAATTGGTATAATTTGTAGGAACTGACGTTGTTGTCCCAATAAGGGTCACATTATCCACAACTTCATCAGTGGTTGAAAATCCAGTAGAGGTGTCCGGATAATAAGTATGACGCGTAGGAACTGCCGTCGTTGTCCCAACGAGGGTCACGTTGTTCAAAACTTCAGTAGTGGTTACAAACTCATTGGGGGTGCTCGCAGAATTGGTATAATTTGTAGGAACTGACGTTGTTGTCTCAATAAGGGTCACATTATCCACAACTTCATCAGTAGTTGAAAATCCAGTAGAGGTGTCCGGATAATAAGTATGACGCGTAGGAACTGCCGTCGTTGTCCCAACGAGGGTCACGTTGTTCAAAACTTCAGTAGTGGTTACAAACTCATTGGAGGTGCTTGCAGAATTGGTATAATTTGTAGGAACTGACGTTGTTGTCTCAATAAGGATCACATTATCCACAACTTCATCAGTAGTTGAAAATCCAGTAGAGGTGTCCGGATAATAAGTATGACGCGTAGGAACTGCCGTCGTTGTCCCAACGAGGGTCACGTTGTTCAAAACTTCAGTAGTGGTTACAAACTCATTGGGGGTGCTCGCAGAATTGGTATAATTTGTAGGAACTGACGTTGTTGTCTCAATAAGGGTCACATTATCCACAACTTCATCAGTAGTTGAAAATCCAGTAGAGGTGTCCGGATAATAAGTATGACGCGTAGGAACTGCCGTCGTTGTCCCAACGAGGGTCACGTTGTTCAAAACTTCAGTAGTGGTTACAAACTCATTGGAGGTGCTCGCAGAATTGGTATAATTTGTAGGAACTGACGTTGTTGTCTCAATAAGGGTCACATTATCCACAACTTCATCAGTGGTTGAAAATCCAGTAGAGGTGTCCGGATAATAAGTATGACGCGTAGGAACTGCCGTCGTTGTCCCAACGAGGGTCACGTTGTTCAAAACTTCAGTAGTGGTTACAAACTCATTGGAGGTGCTCGCAGAATTGGTATAATTTGTAGGAACTGACGTTGTTGTCCCAATGAGGGTCACGTTGTTCAAAACATTAGTAGTGGTAGACGCTGTGCTATTGGGCTCGTAGTTTGTAGTTGATTCCGGAGTTGTAGGAGTACTTACCGCGTCGTCGGTGTAATCCGTTGTGTTAGGATGGTCATTGGGTCGACAAAATCCGTGATCTGGATATAATTTACAAAATCTTCTCATTAAACGCGATAATTTTGGTTTAGATGTTTTGTTTGTAACATCTGTAGTGGCTACTACCATGGAATCATTATTTCTATACTGTCTGATGACGAATCCTGATGCTAACGTAGACTGTGAATATGCCTTGACGGTCAAAAGAAATAGAAGTAAACACATACCATTATTCATTTCTGTTAAAAAAAAAAAAATACAAATACATATGTAATTAGCTGAGAAATTCAATTTTGGAGCTTATTATTCAGAGAAATTACAAGACAAGTACAAAGCAGATAGTTTGACATTGAAAATCAAAAGTAGATTTTCGTATAAATATTTAAGTCAAGTCAAGATCAATAGTATATAAGATTGAGTTAAATAAAATAGTAAATTATAAAAAGTTAATAGAATATTATTCGTAAGTGAACCAATATTTATTAAATGTTGACTAACCTTTGATGAAATAAGAGTAGTTAAGAAACGTAGATATAAATATTGGTTAGCTTGGATTTCTTCAACTGTTTCATGAATTAGAAAAAACAATGTGTTCCCATCTCGTAATGCACACTTCTTAAATACGATTTATTTTTACCTTATCAATAAGAAATATAATATTTCTCAGTATAAGAAAATAGCTTTTTCTTGGTATTTTATTGTTACCAATAAATTGTGCATGTACAAAACAATGGTTTTAATTTCATAACTCTTTTAAGTATTTTTATTAGGTATATTTTTTTAATTTGGTATGTATATTATATACATATATTATATTATGTATAGCTATAATACAACTACAATCATTACTGCCTAGAACAAGAATTTAATACAATTTATGATATTGTATCCCTATATAGGTAATTACTTATTAATCATAGAAATAAATTAAATTATGGTAATTGGTAACAATAAATATAGGTGATTCTATAAAAAAAAATTTTACTTCATGTGCGTGCCTACCCGCGAGAGAGGTTACAATTTGTGAATTCTGAATAAAAATCCTTCGGCGTGCGTACAAAGCTTACTCACAAAAACATAAAATAATAAAATAAACCATGGTATATTATGTTCAGTTGCGCAAGGTTTTAAAATAAAATGTTTAAGCGCAATATACTTCGTTTATATAAATAAATATAACCATATTTTAATCGAATTTAACTGGTATGAATACATTTTTATTAATTCAAGTAATTCAACAAACGAATATTAGCTGGGAATTGTGTATACATACCACATGTCCACATTGTTATTATTACTGATTAAGAACCGATTAAAAATATGTAATATAATGTGACAATGATTACAGATTGGTAATTTAAAGAAAAAAAGAGAAAAAGAAAAGTTCTTAGAATTGCTAGTCACTGTCCACTGAAAGTTGTAGTCAGTGTAACTTATCATTTTTTAGAGAGGATGATTATGATTAGGGCTTGGATAGTTGGATTTATATGCAAATGCAAATTTTTATATAAATGTACCTACTTACATTTGACTTGGAAAAATTCTGATTAAAAATCTATACCTTCGTTCTATTGTATCTATCTGTATATCATCATATATTAAAATGTGTAAGTTTGCATAGGTACCAATTCAAAAGGCAAAATTCATATTCATTTCATAATATTATGTTTTTGCTAGGACCAAGTCTATGAATAAATCGTCTAAGAATCATATATTCTCTAAATTAATAAAATAATGGATATAGGATACAAACGGGGAATTGTCAGTTAAATATTTTTCCAGCTAAAAAAATAAAACAGCTCAAACTAAAATACCTATGTAGGGACCCATTATTATGCGATAATGCCATGACGTAAGATATGTATGCTACGTCGCTATACGAGATAATCTTAACAGGGTTTCAAATTTAAAATTTCACTACTTACAATTTTGATTTACTTTTATAGTTTTATAAAATAATATTTTATTTGAATAAATCCATACAATATACAAATACACGATACCTAATAATTTGTTTATATAATCGAAAATGAAAGATTTGACGCGTACATACTTTCCAAAAGAAATGCCAACAATTAAGAATAACTCTACTTCTGGAATGCTAACTCAGATAAAAACATAAAACAAATTTATCAACATTTGGTTAAAAAATAAATGGGATTGAGTGCAAATCATGAAAAGGAGATCAATAACATCCATAGGTACCCCGTGGCTAACTATAACAAAATAGTACATTAATATTATCATGGTACCCTCTTGGATCATATATAGTATATGAATATAATCTAAGGGTCCCCTATACTGCCCTCCTACTGGGAAAAGCAGTAACTACAAAAATTTCAAAAATGAGGTTTTGATGTTATATTATTAATGAGATTATTCTGAGTATAGTTTTATTAAGGTTTAATACAGAATATACGACATCTAGTGGCTTAAAACTCAATCTGCAAATGTCGTAACTACAGTATGTTTACAATAATCATACCTTTCCTAGACTAAAACGCAGTAATTAACAATTCCTACAATTAAAAGCAGTATGTACACTGTAGTTACTGCATTTACCGCTAGGACAAAAACATTAAATGCTTTTACTGCGTTTTCTTCTAGTATCGCAAGCACTTTGTTGTTATCATTTGCCGCGCAACTGCCGTAACTTAATTAAGTTTTTACTGTGATTTGTTATTTTTCATATTGTTTTCTATTATTATAACAATTAAATAGTATTTTATTTATTTTGTATTTTGTATTGGTTTTGTATAATTAATAGGTATTTATATTATGTTTTCTTTTGTTTTAATAACTATAAAAATTAAGTTATATTTTTTTTAAAAATAATTTTATTATAAAAATATATTATATTCATTCAATTTATTAAACAAAAAGTTTTAAACTTTGTGATAAAGAAGTATCTTTATTATTGGTGTTAATTTGTTGTAGTAACTGCATTTTCTACTAGCAGTTATAATATGATATTGGTAAAATACTGTATTTTATAAATTGTACCACTATATGATATTATGTGGGTAATGCTAACGTGAAACGCAGTAACTGCATTATTATGTGAAAACTGTCAAAAATAATTTATTAATCACAAAATGAATAGCATTTTTGAATTTCCAGCACAAATGTCCATCTGTTTCAGTCTAAAGATATACTTAAAATCTTAAAATTAATTACAAAAATAATGAAAACACAAAAGTTCAATTTCCCCAAAAAATGATTTTTGTAGTTACTGCTTTTCCCAGTAGGAGGGCAGTATAGGTATAGGTACCTACACCAAATAAATACCTAACTATTTACTTTGTTATTAGTTTTTTTTTTAATAATAATAAATATTTTATTTAGCAGTTTTGAAATTATTTACATGATATAATTATTATATTTTTTTTTTTTTTTTGTTACACGCTGAATCGTCTATCACTAATGATGTTTCTTTGTTTTGATAAACGTGAGATAAAATTAAAAAAAAGTTATGAAGTACTTATTATTGGGTTATAGTTTTAAAATACTTGGTAATATAATTTATGCCAACGCATAAAAAATATGTAATTGAAGTAGGTGTACCCAAACCCATTACTCATATTAAATATTAATAAGTAATAACATTCAATAATAATAAAAAAAAAATGTAGGTATTAGTGACGAATGTTTTTCTTAAAATCATTTAATCGTTTTCTTTATTGTTTTTAAATTAAAAAAAAAAACATATTGATATAATTTTATTATATAAATTGTATGCTTATCACGTAAAATCTACAGGTACCTATATTTAATATTGTCGTATTTATTCGCTTAATGATTATAGCTACTATAAAAATATAATTTATCAATTAGTTAGAAACTAACATGCTTGCTTACTTCTATTTAATTTTAATATTGAAATCTACAATTATTGTTTATGGTTACATATTTCAATAATGTTACAAGTACTAGTACAGTCGTACATTTGCAGCACTATAACCATAAGTAACCAGCCATGTATTTAAAAAGTGTTTCAAGCCATTTGTACTTACTACTTAGATAGGTAACTACTTTACACGGATGATAGGTACTATTGATACTTATGGGGGCCTTTATATACTTAAAAATGTAAAACAAAATTACTTCAGTGGCGTGTAACATGGGGTCCAAAGTGTTGCTCAGGCAACATCTTAAAAATGGGTGGGTGGATATTGATAGAAGAAAAATAGGAAATTTTATAGGTAGGTATAACAGTATCATGGGTAGGTCACCTAAAATTATTTGAGCAACACCAATTTTTTTTATGATACATGCCACTGAATTGGCCTTAAACAAATTCTCATTTATAAGCTAGGAATTAATTATTACTCCTTTAGGGTATGGTTCAAAGGAATATATAAGTATCTATCCAATACAATAGGTATATGATAGATTAGGCACATACAATAACAAGATACTGGATGGAACTACGGAAGTACAAACGAAATGCTTAGAGTAAAAACATAATACATTAATGCTGAATTGCATAAAAAAAATTGATTAATTTAATAGTTCACTGACCGTCTGACCATTACCTAGCTTGATTCATTGAATGTTTAGTGATTGTTTATGCAACTCGGCATAAAAAATTATAAAATATGAGAAGATCATCGAAGGAATACATTTGTACCTATTTAATAATTAATAGTAGACAGGTACTTGAATCATGTAAATGTGAGTACCTTATTAAAATTACCTTATTAAAATACAAGTGTTTAATTCATTTAAATGATTAGATAAACATTATATTCGAATAATTATGTTTGTATCAAATTTATATTTAAGTCTTTTGATTACGAAATATTGTTACTATAGTCATTATATATCTACCATGATATCTACTGCATTATCCGACAATTGATTACCTACCTATATATATATATAGATATAAGTTAATGTTGACTTTTTAAAATACTAATTTATAGTAAATACTAAATATATTATACTAACTTACAGAAAATGAAGGCATATCTGAATTTATGTAGTCAAAAACATGTGATGATAAATGATAATATGTTAAAGCATATTTAAACTAAGGTTAACATAAAAATCATAAAAAAAAGTGTCTATTTATAATATGGGTATCGGTATAGCAGTAGTAGGTCGCATCTTTATAGTGACCCGGAGGACAACACTATAAAGATCACTACATTTGTAGGTCATACATTGGTTGAATGTCGTACATCCAAAAAAATTGATTGAGTATTGTAAATAAGATTCTTAAATTATGTATTCTAATTTGTAACACATAAAATAGGTACCGCAACATTACTCTACTATTATAGTTATATACTTAGTATTCATTTGTAATCGAATATTTATGATACTATTGCAACACTGCTATAGATTATAATATAGTATTATTATTATACATAGGTAGGTAATTATAATAAAACTGAGGGAAATGATCTTAAAACTTTTATTCAAATCGATAATTTTAAACATCAATGTACAATAATAAAAAAAAAAATATTATATAAGTAAAAGTATGTACATTTATTATAATAAATTCATAAACAATATTGAATAATATTGTCATTCGCACTTTTATTGAATACTACTTTTAACTTTTAAGTTAAATTTTTATTTTTTCCAACGAATTGATAAATCTAATGGTTGGTCAATAACGTTGGGAATGGAATACGCAGAACAAGTTGATGTTATGAAGACCGACGAAGAACAACATGGATTCGTATCTTGTGCTGAAAATTAATCATAAAATGTATGTTAATTTATATTTGATACGTACCTATAAACTATATATACATGTATTTTAATCATAATATTTACGGTGACTACTGTTTCACACTAATTATTAAATATGACTTACATAATTATACAAATAATCAGTATAATATAGGTATGTATATATTGTATTAATTATACGTAACTAACATTTTATTTATAAAAAATATTAAAAAAAAAAAAAAATTAAAAGATTAGTTTCACTATCACAAAATTTTACTTATAGGTACTGTTAATAATTCACGACTGAGGTGACATAATAATATTTAATAGTATTACTGTAGTATTACTTATAACGTTATAAGTTAAGGTATTAATGTATAATATTAATTATTTGTCCCTTTAATCATTAATAATTGGATAACATAACAAAATATTTACATAAATATTATATTATACGATCCTCTAAATTATATTATCATCAAAATACTATGAATGATGAAGTGTAATAACTAATAATAACAAATAACAAATAATAAATAAAACAAAGAAGTTACTCTGCTGTATAATAGGCTTAGACTTTTCGAGTTTGGTCATTGAGTAGATCACTGTAATGGATGTGTTTAATTTGAATTCAATTATAAATCTTGCATACGAAAAACGTATCTGATCAGAAACGATGTCAGCCTTTATTTCTAAGGATATTTTATAATTTATTTAATTATAGATATATTGTTACTTAAACCATAGATTGAAGGTGAACTAATTTTTACCAAAAAACAACTCATATTTTATTGTTATTAGGTAGGAGGCTTATAAGTCAAATGTGAAATGACAATATACCGACGTATCGTAGAGGTACAACGGTATGAATAGGTTCATGCCTCAAGGTACAAACATATGTAGGCATTTTTAGATGGAACCTCTAAACCTTAATTTCAATCACCTCAAAAATGTTGCGATACTCGGAAGGCCGTGTGGTGGTATCTAATTTTAAAAATGTAACTGTGTAAAGAAAATTAATAATTATAATTTTCGTAATAGTCGGATGTTTTAACTTTCAAGTTTATACAGTTAATATTTTTTGAATAACAATAAAATAATTAAAGTAATTGGCTATCACTTCACTCAGAATCTAAGTAAAAGCAATATTTTACATAGCCTTTTAGTGTATAATATGTAAAATCCAAACAAAATTAGTTTGAGATATTTACGCTATAATTATATATGTATTATATGTTATTATATGGTTCACAATAATTTTAATACGAGTTCAATGGCATAGGTAACATCATTATAATATATTAATATTTAGTGCAATACTGGTACACTTGAGATCTTAAATTTCCCTTCGTCTTTTAACCCTTCAAATGCCAATTGCTGAATGCTGACGGCTGTCAAATAAGTCTTACATTACTGATACATTCATTATTCATAATAAGTTACTAATATAGTAATATATACGTACTTAGATTGGAAGTACCTAATTATCTAACGATTTTTAATTTAAAACGATGCGGTCGTATAGTAAATTGTATTATTAAAGTACTTTTTAAAGTTTTGTAAACTGATAGATGAATATTATGATAACCGAACATTATTAATTATAGTAACTAGTAATGTATACGTACTCAATATCACCTTTACTTGATGATTATGACTTTTTGCATGTTTTCGCAAAGAGCTGGGGTCCGTATACCTTTTCAGACAGCTTTCCACTCGACAAGCGTATGGTTTTTCGATGAAGTGCGTTCGGGTGTGCTTGAAACGATCGCTCGTATTGGAGTATGCCTTGTTGCATCCGTTCACTGAACAAACGTAAGGTTTCTCGCCTGTGCATATACATTTCAAACTTCAAATTTCACGTTTTATATTGGTTACAAATTAAATTTATGTATTTATAATATTATAATACACAAAATAAAGGATATATCTTTCTTTTGGAAAGAAGTGCATTTAAAAGTGTATACCTACTTGTTTATATGAAGGAAATTACTAGTTAGCCTGCTAATGATGACATTTAAGTATGAAACTAATTTAGTATAAAATATTAGAAATAAAAGTAGACGAATTATGGTTACTTTATTATAATATTATTATAGTGTCTATATCTTTGAATTGTGTATAACTGGAAGGAAGACCCGCCGCCGCCTTAGTTGATGAGTAAATAAATTTATAATATTGTGAAATATGAACTTTTACAGTTTTGTTTACTGTAAAATGTAAATATATGATTATATCTTAAACAGCCAAACAGGGTGCACCAAGCATGCTCACCCCCTTTTTTCTTCAATAATACAGTTATTTAAAATCTAATTTTTTGTACTATATTTATAAAGTTTCCTGGTGAGATACAACTTCTGTTTT